AGCAAATGAACATACCGTGTCCTCAGTGGGACACCTTAGTCGTTAAGTGATGGCCTTGCTCTTTACACTTTAAAGAAGTGATTCCCAACAAGGGGCTTGTGAAAATGCTGCAGGATCACGGGCAGTTTCAATTTGCTGAAACAAAGTCGCTATGACTAGGAGCTGTCTGAGCAACACCTAATTCTAAAATAATATTGGCAGTAGATTTAGTCAATGAAATATGTCTTTTGATTTCTTGACTGCTGTTTCCAGAGGTGGTGACTGTTGCTTCAAATAAAATGAATTCATTGACAACTTTAAACTTTTTCCATCTACCAAGATGTTGCTTACTGGTTTTCTTGATGCTAAGTAATAATCCATACTAAAGACTGTTTTATCTTTTGCAGTAAGTTCTTTAAGTCCTCTTTACTTTCTGCAAGCCAGATTGTGTCGTCTACATAACATGGACTGTTGGTGGCTCTTCCTCCAATCCGGATGCCTTATCATTCCTCATCGAGTACATCTTCTCGGATTATTTGCTCAGCAAACAGATTGAAAAGGTGTGATGAAAAGATACAACACTGACACACACGTTCCCTGATATTAAGTGATACAGCTGCCCTGTGTTCTGCTTGCATGACTGCTTTTGAGTTGATGTGCGGGTTCTGGGATTCCCATTCTTCTCAATGTTATCTGTACGTGTTAATCACATGCAGCCTCAGATGCTCTTAGCATTCTATTTCCAAAGGTTTGTGTGGCTTCCTCTCACGTATGTAATGGTGCCCTTGAAGTGAAATTTTAAAAGCCATGCATCTCCTATAGCTAATGTGGCTATTATTTCCATCAAATAAAGTGAACAAGGCTTCAAAATCCTTCAGAGCTTGCTGCCTAGGAGGCCAGCTGAGCTCAAATTCAAGGTGGTCAGGTGCGTGCAGGTGCTCACTGGTCACACAGACAGCGGCAACTTGGCCGGGCCACAAGGAAGCTCTGCTGAACAACAGCCATGGACAACGTGGAAAGGTCACGGCATTGTGAGGTCGCCAGAATTCTAAAGGGACACAGCGGTCCCACTGAGCAGGTCAGCATCTCCAACATTCATTCATTTTAGATGGGAATCTAAACCACGATGTTCAAGGGAGAGTAGTCTCCTAGGTAAATTGCTGAAAAAAATGGCATTGGGAAAGCTACTCCCCAGACAACCAGTGCTGGAGACTCCTTCAGTGTTTCAAACCTGGGTTTTTGCTTGCACTTGGAAGTAACCAAAGTCTGATGGCGCAGTCCCCAAGACAGACCTTACTTCTGACACCAGTCTCAAGCTCAGGGCATTCTTCAAACCATTATTGGGCTTGCTAAGATGTGCTCTCAGACTGACTAGAAACCCTAAGTCTCTGTAAACTTTCATGAAAAAACAAACAAACAAACAAACAAACCCAAACCCAACCAAAAACAACCCCACAAAACAAACATTAAAATAACAAGAAAAAAAAAAAGAAGTGCTCTCAGAAAGCTAGGATACTCACAACTCTCACAGCTCTAGGTTGTTAAGGGAAAGGACAGAGTTAAAGGAGACACAGGTCAGAGTGGGAAGGAGCTCCCCACCGGAAGCTTCCATGGTCCTCAGGAGGGGCAGCTCTTGGGCATCAAGGTGTGTGCAATGATAAACAGAGTACTTGGGGGTGTAAAATAATGCAGCCACGAGGGAAAGCAGTTTGGTGCTACCTTACAAGACTGAGAACAGAAATATCACTTAATCCAACGATCCCACAGTCAGGTATATGCCTCAGAGGAATATGAGCTTCCAATATGCACACCCAGGCTCACCGCAGCATTATTTACAACAGCAAAGGGATGGAAACAATATAAATGTTTATCAAAGGGGTAAAAAAAACCCTAAGAAACCCAAAACCCCAACCTTATGGTACAATTTACACAAGGAAGTGCTATGCAACATTAAAAACCATTAGGAAATTCACAAAACATTACACAACATGGATGCATCTAGAAGACATTATGCTAAGTGAAATAAATCCATCACAAAAGGACTATCAGGGTGTAAGAACACAAACATAAATGGCTAAATCAAGCAAAAGTTTACACACAGATAAACTCATTCTTGGATGGGCACTGGGATGGAAAAGGAGGACCAGAAGAGTAAAAATAAATAGATGTAAATTGAGTGAAGGGAAAGGTAGTATACAATAAGGGGGTGATCAAATGTTGAAATTCATTATCTTAATTGCAATCAGTTATAAAACAAAACGTGCATGAACGACTGAATGAAAAAATCAGTATCATTTGTAACTTTCAGTCAAAAAAAAAAAAAAGCACTGTCCACTTGAGGGCTGCCCATGAAGTTTCCGTGGCCATTTCTAACTGGAACTTTATCCTGTAGATACAGCTGAGCTCACAAGTGGCTAAGTCTGCAGTCCCCAGTGCCCAAAGTCTGGTGGATGCCCTTCAGAGAGGACTCTTCAGCAGAAACCACTGGGTATGCTTTCTGGAGCCCATCATGAATCACAAAAGCCACTCCCATCGCTCTGGAGCCCTGCGGGATGGAGGTGGCCTCCCAAGAACTAGGACTCCTTTTTGGGCAATGCCAAATTCTTTCCTGCAGTTTTATAAGATGAGAACGGTAGTTTCTAAAGAACAGAACCTTTACACGTTGAGAGAGAATGACGTGGCTGAGGTTCTGCTGAAACCTAAGCCTGACGTATGGTACAGACGCAGGGTGTCCTTTGGCAGGTAAGTCACGCGTGGCAGGGTTGCGCTGTGCCTTCGGCAGTTAAGTCACATACGGCAGGGTTGTGCTGTGTCCTTTGGCAGGCAAGTCACGTCACTGTTTTCATGACCCTCCCTCTCTAGCAGCCTAGGCCTGGCTGATGACATGGCAGATTGTTCAGAGATCAATCTTCTCATCTAAAACCAAGCTGCTTGCTTGCTCTTGAAAGCCTCGCTCCTTCCAATTTTCCCATTTGCTAAGCTCACGTATCTGGTTCTCCCTTGCTCCATGTACCCAAGCAACCTCTCATTCAAGCCAAATTGTCCTGCAATGTCTGTTTTGCATCTATTGCTTTCTTTTCGTTAACATTTGCACAGACCTTTCAGTTAGTATTTCTGGATCTTCTCTCCCATGACTTCCATCAAGCGCCAGATTAATATTTCTACCCAGGCACAGCTGCGAAGTCAATTACTAGCTACTGGCTTTCCAAGTCTTTTCCCAAGTACACCATCTATCTTTCTCCCAAGGAGCAGCTGCTGGGCTTGAGGCACTGACCCTTCATTTAAGAGCACAATGCATAGAGAATTCTGCCACCAGAGCTCTTCACCTCGCCAGTCACCTTCCGATGGCTTCCCAACAAAGACCAGATTGCTTACGACTGCGTTTACCTTCCCAGTTTTATCTTACATTATTTTCAGGCAAACCACTGGTCTTAACTACTTACACGATTTCCTTCTGAATGTCTCCCACCTATTGGGCGCTCATCAGGCCTCAAATGAAACATCTTCGTTTAGCAAGTCTTCACAGATCATTCTAGTCAGAACCGATTGTTTTTTACTTGCCTTAACTGTTAAGTATTTGTATTACTATCATCTTATAATAATTAAAAAACACCCCGAATGGCCAGAGTGCCAGGTGAAAAGTTCTCACAGTACTGAGATTGAAAGGTTCAAAGTTAGAGAAGTTGTTTTACAATTACAGGAAAAGAGGGAGCTCGGGTGGCTTAGTGGTAAGAAGCTTCACTGCAATCCCAGAGGTATGCGGTTCAAATCCACCAGATGCTCTGCTGGAGAAGGAGGGGCAATCTCCTCCTGTACCAGTCAGATCCGATTTGATGGTTCACACACACAAAATAATAAAATGAAATAAAAAAAATTAAAAAACAAACCAACCCACAAACAATTATAGGAAAAGAAAAATGCAAAACTCAAATACGCAGATTTCTCTTTAAAAGTCAAATCTATACCCACTACATCTAAATTAAGAAGATACATAAGACTGCTTGTCAGAGGGCGGTATGCGGTGCACTCGTGGAGGGCCTTTCTAATCTCGAAAAAGAACATTTACTTTGGAACATGGAGATTTCTGTTTGTTTAAATACACCGCCATCATGAGAAAAGGATTTTTTTTTAAAGTATCATTTAAATTAACATTAACATCCATTATTGCACAACCTGCATGAAAGCAAAAAGTAATGACTCCCCCCCGCCCCCGGACTTAATCATGTCATCAAATGCTTACAAACATATGCACAGAAGAAGGTCAGACCCCAACCAATCTTTCAACCAAACCTGTCACAACACCTCTTTTTGCTTCAGTAATTTGCAAGTATGTTACTAACAGAGGTGACACAATGCAACCATTTAGACACTCATGAAAATTCTGAATGATGCCTTCATACCTAATGCGAGAACTGGCAGCAGAGGGAAGGGCCAGGGCCAGGGCCAGGGCCAGGGGTCACAAGACACTTTGATCCATCAATTACGGAACATTCATTTAAAGCATCCCAAGGATTAATAGAGGAGCAATTTAACAGTGCCTTCATAATCAAGGGCAAGGTAAAGTCTGCACTTTAAATGCATATAAGGTACATGGGAAGAAATATGAAAAGAGCTTTGACATGAAAAAGGTGGATACCCAAATTTGGACGTGCCCATCCTTTTACGTCACAAAAGTGGAAGGTTTCTACGTTTCCATTAGTAGAAGCAGTAATTTAACATCTCCTTCATAATCAAGTGCATCTTACCTTATGTATTATTCCAAATGGAAGTTCTATTACTTTCCATGACTTTCCATTTCTCTTTAGTACATAAAACAGAGCTAATGGCAATGAGCACTTGTGAAATGCCCACTCCTTGCGTCTGAATTCCAGGGCAGTAGAAAACCCGGCTCCTTAACACCCAAGTACATTTCCAAGCAACCCGGAGGACTGCTCAGCACCTCCTCCGGTCAAAAAGCAGCACTCTGCACAGTTTTAGCTCATCGGAAACAGTAAATAGTGACAAGACTGTTCAGAACTTACTTGAACTTTGCTTCCACTTCCTCAACAGCTTTCTGATACTGCTCAGTCGTGACCTTGTAGAACTCTGAGCTCTGTGGGCGGAAAGCGAGAGAGAGGTTTCACTGCCCAGGAGAAACATGCCGTGCACGAGACTCGGGACTTGAGAAGACACGCAGCATCTGGCTGTGGTCATCCAAGTGGGAAGGGGACACTTATGAAAACACTTGGGAAAAATTCATTTCTAGAACAGAACAGTGTGCTGGTAGCTGGTTATAAATACAAATTAAACTTTCACAGTTATAATTTATCATTATTTGATCCTTCAGAGGATGTCATTAATGTATATTTTTGAAAGATTGCTTAGATCTCCCATGTTTGGAATCTACCACTGCGAAATCTAAGACCGCCTGAGCGCGAATAATGAAATTCACCCCCATCATTCACATTTGCCTACCACTCCATCAGCGTGCAAACTCGATCTCTAAGGATCATTTATATGCAATATTTTTGTCTTCAAGATGGATTCTTTATGGAGTAGAATTTGTCATCCCCCAAATTGTGGTCATCCACATGACCGACGAGAGGACGACCATTTGTAACAAATTAATCAAGAAGCATAAGGGGGCGCGACTGTAGGTATTTTTATTTTATAAGAAATCTTTCCAGTATCAGATGAATAAACACAGCACCAAGTTGCCACAGTACAGTAATGCCTCTCTTGAGGTGGCAAACGTGAAAACAATGCACTGTAGCGATTTTTTTTAAGACCTGTCTCATTGCTCGGGGTGGTGGTAGGAACCCTAAATGATGCCATCAGCCCCCAGACTCCAATGAAATATACTGCAGAACAAAAGGAGCAATGTGAACGGACCACAGAACAGAGGGGTCCACTGTCGACCCTCACCTCCAATCACTCAGGAGCCACATGTTGGGGTGTGGGGTAGTTTATTTTGCAATAAATCATTGTTGGTTGGTAAGAAAATGAAAACACAATCCCCTTCACGTCAGTGACCCCTCTGCATTTAACAATCTGTGCAGCCCAATGACAGTCACATCCAGGTTTCTTGGATGTAGATGAAATCAATAGGGATGTGATTAGACAGCTGGCTCGGGGTGGCTGCAGCCTCGGACAGGTCACCATTTGAGATGATGAATGGCTCTCCATCAAGCCCGAGTCCCCTACGATGCTAACATTTACTATAATCTTATTTGGGCTGCGATTTATCTTTCTTGCACCTGATCAATAAAGATGAACAGAACAGTTGTAGGGATCGATTGTAATTTTTTATCATTTTCAAGCATGAAGATGCATTTCTGACGTGAAGACAATATTCTAAGCGAACTATTTCTGCATTTTTTAAGAATCTCAATTTGAGAGATCAACTGCGCCAGTCTCTGGGCCGAGAGGTTTTAATTCATCTACGGGTCTCAAGTGATTAGAAAGCCATTTGTCTTCTCAGAAATCTTAACTCCGGGTTATGGGACACCTTCACTTGTCAGATGCTCTTTTCTTCTGCAATACACCAGTCACAACAGGCTCTTTTGCAATGTGTATTAAGCTTCTGAGACCCCTTCTAACCAAGAGGGCAGCAAACAGGAGTTAGTGATCTCTCAGTAACATTGGTGAGAAACTTCTGAAATCACTGTCATGAACTCAAGTGAACACTGCATGCTGTCAGTCATTCACACACAGGTCAAGCGGGAACTCTGTGAGGACTACTGTCATCATGGTAAACACTGAAGAAATCAAGTTTTGGGAAGAGACAAGACAAAGCAGAAAGATCTGGCCTTTGGTTCTCTTCTGGGACCTAGTGGATGTCTTCTAACACCATCCCACATACTGGCAATTTACTTTCCAAATTCCTAACTATAACACATAACTGAGAACGCCATCACTGTGACAAAGCTGTTGTAGAAATCAAATATGATGCACGTGAGAGTGCTTTGAATCCTGTTCAGTGTTTCTGAAGAGCAAGACCGACCAAAGGAAGTAATGTTACGGGAAGAGAAGGAAGCTGGGTAGCCTTGTGCTGGGTGCTCTGGGGTGTGCCGCGGTCTGTTCCTACGCATGGCTGACCCTCCAGCAGGCTCTTGGAGGCAGAAAGCTGTACCGGAGGAGACTGCTCGCTTTTCTCTGTGGCTCAGCGGATAGACTCCAATTGCCTCCTTTTGGGTCGGCAGAACAACTCCTTAGTCACTAGGCCCCCTGAGCTTTTTCCATTCTGGGTACAAACTCCAAATGAGCAATGTAAATATCAAGCTTTCTGACAAGGGCAATACACAAAAGGTGTTTGGCCAGATACAACCATCTGGGAGCTCTCCCATGTTTTAGAACATCAAATGCAGGCATGATTACCCACTTTACCTAGGAACACCCACCCCCTCCTCTCACACACACCCCCTGTACTGGAGTTTCCAGCCATCTTTACATACACATTCTCAAATTACAGCCTCAGGCTTTAGTTCTGCTATTTCCAAGTCCATGATCAGTTCCCCACAGTGCATTTATCTTCCTAACAAGGCGAACTCCCCAAGAGGCACCACCACAGACATCTAAGAGAATAATCACACACATTCTTGAGTTCTGTCCACAGACAGTGCCACATTCATTTAAAACTCTATGCATTCAATCAACAAAATCAAGTCACGATATAAAAACTGACAGCCTTAGAAAGCCCTTGGGGCCAACAGTCCTACTCCCGGCTGCGGGGCTGCAGAGTCAGAATTCTATGGGACATCGCTGTGGGTTTTCGAGGGGAGGATATTATCCCCACAGATATTCACCTTGGGGGCGTCTCAGAAACTAAGTGGTGGGAGCGTGTTAGTATCTGCATCACTCAGGGGTGGAATTCCAAATGCCTATCCAGGTGACGTCTAAAAGGACAGGAGGAAGACGGCATAGAGAAGGGGTCTGCACTGCTGTGCTTTCTTAAGTTCATTTAAAAAATGAACTCATTATATGAAATAATTTCTAATACATTGAACATTGTATACTCCTTCTACCTCTTCAAGAAGTCAAGTAACAACACATCATTTGCTGGGCGCTCCTGCCCTCTCCGCCTCGTGGACACTGAGTTAGAACTCCAAGCCCAGCTAATCCAGGTTTCTGAGACTGCCCGCCCATGTCCTGCCAAGCAGGGTGTGATCCACACAGCCAACGAGGTGTGGGCTTTGTCTGCAGGACAACTCCCTGCAGGTGAGGCCATGTGAGCTCCCGTTAGGTGGGTCGGAACACAGATGTATGCTCGGGCTGTCCATGGCCCAAAGAGGCTGGCTGCGTCAACACTGTGCATATACTCTGTTGTTTGTTTTCAGTATCTATAAATCTAATCTTTATTTGTCTTTGGGGGTTGGAAATATTACATATAAGCTTACAGATATATTTTAACATTTTGTGTAGTACATATTTTTTCTTTATATACTTTATTATTATTAATTTTAATGAAAATTTACAGACACTTTGGATTTCCATTCATTCACTATTGCACTTTTCTCCCTGCCCTTATACTTTTTACTAAATAAAATGTGCTCCTTGTAACTTCTTATTCTGAAGGTGTGTTGTTTTGAAATAACAGGAACAGCCCCACACTCACTGTCACTGTCACTATTCCAACTCACAGCGACCAGCCTTTGGGTCTCTGAGGCGGCATCCTTTACGTAGACACTGCCTGGCTTCCTCCCTCCCAACGGTTGGTGGATTCAAACCATTGATCTTTCAGCTAGCAGCCCAACACACAGGCACCAGAGTTCCCTACTAACTTTAGGATTCCAAAAGAAAAATAGTAAAACACTGTCCTGATGCTAACACCTTAGATAACCATGGTGCAATTACCACAACTAAGAAATCAACAATATTATTAACTCAGCTACAGACCTAGAATTCCTCAGTGCAGGACTCACTCCCGGGCACCTTGATGCATTGGACTGTCACATCTCCTTAAGTGGCCCCCAAGACCCGACACTGCCTCAGATTCTGTAACAGAGGTGTCCCTAAGTAGCAATGCTGTTGGTCCTTCCTCACAGCTGAGGGCCATGGAGCTCCGCCTCCAGTCTGCACAGGGAGCCCAGAGTCCAAGAGGCACCGTGATCTCCGGAGAGGCTGCCTCGTTCTCTGCGCTGCCTGCGCTCAGGTTTTTCATGTTGCTCTTCTTATTTATTATATAAACACTATGTTGTTGTTGGTAGGCGGCATCGAGACAAGTACGACGCATAGTGGCCGTGGGAACAAAGGATCTGAACCCTGTCCTATCCGGTGCCCCCTTCACACTTCCTGACACACCGGATAACACACAGTGCTGAGGAGAAACAAGCTGCTGAGTAGCTGACAAAGAATGGAAGAGAAGCAGCCGTGAAATACACGGGGAGGCTGCCGGCTGGTCTTTCAAGAAACCATCATCTCAGGGCAGAGGACATACTGCTTCTAGGCCTGAACGGCTCTGTGTGGCTGGTGGTTGCTGGGGAGTCAATTCTGACTTGTGGTGACCCCTGTGTAACAGAGAGCTGTACGCCATTGAAATTGCTTTTGAAATTTTATTTTATAATGCCTTTATTTTTCATTTATTTTATAATGGTTTATATACAAAGTTCATAAGGTTCATATACATTGTTTTTCACACTGGACTTTCCCCCTTTCCTTTACCAAATCATCCACAGGGTTTTTAAAGGCTGTGTCTACTGTCCTATCTCTGTAGCTTAGAGGTAAAGAACTGTGCTGCCAACATAAAAGTAAACAGTGTGAATCTACCAGCTGCTCCATGGAAGAAGAATAGTCAATATCCTCTCATGCAATTTACTGCCTTTGAAAACTCGCTTGAAGGTCAGCTACAGGTTGGTTCCAACTTGATGGTACATATCAACAACGATCTTGCATGATCACTGTAATTCTGAATTCAGTAACAACAATATTTTAAATGGGTGGGTATAAACAGCCAACCTTTCAGCTAGTATACTAACCCTTAACTGTTTATGCCACCCAAGGACTTCGCTCCATTCACATCCAGAATGCATAGTCTTCTGTCCCATTAATGGCGAGAAAAGTACCTGAAAAGATGTGTTCAGTGGAGGTATGGACTTGTGCCAGGTAAGTGTCATC